AAGAATCGCTTTGGTTATACCACTGTTCCTGTGGATGAACTCATGCCAATTCATCGCTATGCCTCATTTGATACACCGCTTGTGGGTGTTCAGCTGACCCAATTACAAGGTGGCCAGGCACTTGCATATTCGATCACTCATCGATTAGCTGATGGCGTGGCATTTACCGAATTTTTGAGCGCTGTGGCCTATGCTTTGCGAAATGAAAAAGTGCCGCCTATCGAAATGTATTACGACTGGCAGCGTCCACCATTGAAACCTAGTCCCAAGTACGACCACAGCATTGATTATCCCGTGATGAAAGAAATCCCCGAACGGGTGATGACTATGGACCCTGGTCCCTCCATGAAGCGCGTAATTGCTATTGCTGAAGACAAAGCTCAGGAACTCAAACGTCAAATGAAACAAGAGATGGCCGATAAGGATGTCAGGATATCAGTACGTGATGCTATTACGGCTTTCATGTATCGAGCCATTGTCAAAGCAAGAAGGCTAAAGGGGCAATGTAATTTGGTCTATGTGGTGAGCAAGCGTAACGCACATCCAGATAAACGGTTGTTGCAGCATTTTGGAAATTACTTTGTGTAAGTGACAACATGATCCAAGTGCAAAATAGGCATTAACATGGTTCATGTTACATAGTGCGGTTACTGTTCCTGGAAAGCATGATGAGGTGATCCATAGCCCCATGGTATCCATTGCACAACGCATCCGTGAGCATGTTGACAAGGTGAATCCTGAATACATGGATTCATTGGAATACTATCTTAATAATCTCGAGGATCCAAGCAAGGTGTATCCACCCGTGCATCGAATGACAGCTAAAGATGTGATGTGGTCCGATGGGAGTCGATTCCCTTTTGGCTACGATGTCGGATATGGAAAACATAGCAGTGTGACCAGGAGTTGGAGTGATCCTGTGCCGATGGCAGTGGTTGCAATCGCGCCTAATTATAAGGGTGCATTTGAGTTGGTGGTCCAATTGGATCCAGAGAGCATGGAACGATTGATGAATGATAAGCAAGTGCAATACTATACACTTGGCGCTTTTTAATTCCTCATAATTAAACGATCACTGATTTTGTTGTACGTTGTTTGCTTATGTCCCCTTCTTTTGTGTGGCTATTACGTTATCAACATGCATATATAAAGGCATACGATCTAATGCGTAACACAGGTGCATATCCGCTTCTCTTTCTCTTACATTATCGACTACAAGGGTCTTCTCATTTTGTCACTTCCAATCGTCTCACACGCAACAGCCTTTATGGTAGCCATGACATGTCTGCAACACCCACCTTTAGCCAATACTAAAAAGTAATCTACTCGACCACAAGTTTTGAATACCTTCGGACCTGGTTCGGGCACGTCTTATTAAAAAGTGCACGAAGCATATGCATTATTCGCTCCCCTTTAATACAACATCATCGTTATGCACTTTTAGGTTATGGTGGGTGGCATCGGAAACATTCGGCGACAAAGACATTTATATATATACGGGGTTGTTGTTGTTGTATTCTACAACCAAAGTTCCAAAAGACACGATGGCACCTTTACCACCTATTTATCGCACTTTTGTTCAACCCGAAACACTACCAGAGAAAAAGAGTTATCCAGCACCAGAGGGAATTAGCCATGTTATTCCACCAAACCTTTACCCCAGATATGCTGTTTTCATTGAACAGGATGATCGCAGAGGTCTTATTCCGGTCCACAAACTTGAAAAAGCTATTGCTAAAGCCTTGACCAAATTTTATCTCTTTGCTGGTCGTTTATCACCCGAGCCACGAGGACGATTTTCTATTCAAGATTT